AAAAGTCAAACATTTACTAACGTTTATAGGACTTAAGAGCCAAAATATTTTGAAAAAATTTATAATTTCTAGAAAATTCTAAAACCTATGTATATTTGGTGAGAATTCGAGTTACTAGAGTGATTCATTTAAATTTAATTACTCTTCTGTGCATAAGACGTTATGTGGGTCACTGTATTGTATTTATATACACCATTGGTGGTTTCAATAAAGATACCATAGGTAGTTAAAAAACAAATATACATCATTACTATATTTTTAAATTTTAAAAAAATTAGTTAAAATCGTTGTTCTCAGTTTAATTATCTAATTTTGTAAAAATTTGAACTTATATTATCTATGAAAAAAAATATTTTTATATCATTTTTTTATTCTCTGGTTACACAATTAAATATTTTTGAAATACCTCGTTTTACATTTTCACACATAAGATGTAAAAATAGAACATTTCATAGATTTTTAACTTCAAAATAATACTTACTCATTTTGTGATTTTGATGAATTTTGTCAAAATTTGATCTTTAAATTCATAACTTTTATGAACTGCTCTTTAACAACTAATGAAGAACCTTGAGTTACATTTTCAAACTTTTTGACAATATGTAGAAAAAAATTAATCAAAATTTAAAATATCGGTAAACAGTTTAAAAATAGTCAAAATATTTCAAAATTGTATGGTGTATAGAAAATGTTCAGGATGTATGGTTATTCACTTATGAATTTGACCCAAAATAAAAGTAAAAATATCCGTTTTATTTCAATTTTTTTTTTGTTTACCAGAAGCTTTTGAAAGATACTAAGAATTGTCAAAAGTTAGTAAAGTTTAAAATCGAATCATTATTTTGACTAACTACTTATTATGAGATAACTTGTCACGCAAAAACACACAAAAAAAAACATCATTGTAAAATCAATATTTTTATCGCTCAACTTAGATTATAAAATTATGTTTACAATCGTGCAATTATATTATTATGTAAAGAAAATAATAATATAAACATTTGTTAAGAATTGCATGTATATAAGGTAATTTATTTTTGAGTTACCTACTCTAAAAATCGGTTTTATTAAAAACTGGTTTTTTCACAAATATATTTTTCCCAATTTTTATTTTTTTTATTATCCTGAGCACTTTTATACCTACTATAAATTACTTTTTACCTACTAAAGTTCTAACTAGATTCAACGTTCCACCAGAAAACACCCTCAAAGCATTTTTACACCTCCAAAATGTGATGTTATACATCCAAAAAAAAAAACTTCCTAAAACTAAAATTTCAGTGACCATTTCATAAAATAGTATCTATTTAATGTAATTTTTTGTTGTTTAAATATCTTAAAAAATAAAACGATTTAACTAAGTGATATACGATATATTTTTGTAATGGTGATTGATTTCAATGTGAGACCCTCTTAAAGATGAACGATAATATTGATTAATTATATTACTATAATAGTAATATTAGTTATTCTTAATTAGAATAACTTATAAATTGTTAAATACATAAAAATAAATTTAATACACCAACCCATACAAGTTTTCTTTCTTTTTTTTTTCTATAAATAAATGATCCTTAACCCTTACAAAAAAATATAAAATATAATAAATTCAAGATAAAAAACATAAGAATATGAATACATTTCGATGAAATTATATATTTCATAAAAAAACTTCACAATTTACAAAATGTAATCCAAACCTTATTATAACTCAATGTTATTAAAATGTTTGTTTATTACATTTTGAATTTTATTTCAAGGTTAATATCGTAAGATATTCAAAATTGTAAAAAATAATTATTTACAATAATTTTTAGGAGAATAACATTCGATAAGAAAAGCTCTTTGCTTGGAATAGTTTTTTCCATATAAAACTGTATCTGTAAAAATTATCGAAGTTAGATCTAGTAACCAATCCCCCAGTAATAATAGTACATATGTATTTATTTTTTTTCATTTTATATACCAAAGTAATTTTAATTTTGTTTATAGGCGTACGTGAACGCTATTATTGTTAATTTAATTAAATTAGTTTTTTTATTGGGTGTATATACATTTTATGAACTTGTCTAAGTTCTAGAAGGTATGGACTAATAAGTACGAAAATGAGTTCAAAGTTATTTAAAGTTAATAAAAAATTATTATTTCAAAGGTTATATTTAGTGAAAAATAAAATAAAATAATACCGCATCAATTAAATAAAGACAGAGTATGAACAAAGTGTGCAAAATGATGTTATTATACGTACCTAATATAGTTTGAACACTATTAAAAAATATTTTATCAATTTAATAATTCATCTAAATAAGATTTATTTTATTATGAAAAAAGTTCACATTTTTGTAACTATCTATTCTATTTATATTTCAATTATGATTTATAGAATTTTTTTTAAATTAAATATATTAATAATAAGTCATAATAGGGCTTTTTCATACATTTAATGAACGAAGAAAACATTGGTTTAAATGTTAAAAAAAATTTAATCAAACAAAACTTGAAAGATTTTTAACTCATATTCGTAATTAACATTCATAACTTACCTATAACTTAAAATAATCAATAATTAGTTATACACTTAAACGATTTATTCATTTCTGACTACGGATGTAACGACTAAATTAAAAAATTGAAAAAATTATAGTTTGTTACATTAAATTTAAGAAGATGCGTCGTTGTTGGCGAGAGGGAGGGTCGGGAGCAGAACACTCCTATTTTTTTTAAATTGCCAGGTATAAAATGAAAATACCGATATGTTAAATCTGATATTGAGTCAGTTCATCTAAAGAGTGCTGTTTTTGGATTCAACGGAGTTCTTTTTCTGCTGTTGCATTAGGTATAGAAGTCATAAAATAATAATAGCTGTGTGCATAGGTTATGTAGGGTATGCGATGGCATACCCTGTGGGCGGGAAGCAGATATATTTTTTTGGATGGCATAATACGAACAAAGTCCCAAAATGATACTATTTAGAAAGAAAAAATAACAAAATGTATAGGTATGAGTGTATGATCTATGTTTACGTGACGATAATTAAGAAGTTATATACTTGTCAGTAAATGTATCTGTATAAAAATATGTTTTTATGATTAAACATAAAACAAGTTGAAAAATGTATTATTTTCTATGACAATAAGAGCATTGATAATAAAAATGGTTGTCAATTTATCATTAATATTTTCTAAGCAATAGGATGAGCATTTATATTTATATTTTTTTGAGGATCACATGTTATCAACCACCCAGGCAACCCAAGTCTGGGCATTTGGGCTCGTGTAAGGTAAAACATAGTGTCGTAGGTATATGTTCAAATTGCACAATGTTTTCGTGTGTACAAATTGAAACCAAAGGACATGAACTAAAAGTTTTAATTGTCAAATCGAAATACTAAAAAACCACAATAACTTATAATTTATAATTTATCATCAAAATATCAAAATGAATAATATAGTCTGAACATTTCTTTCCTACTTGTTAAATCTCATCCGCTAGGTATACTATATTAACTATATAGAACATATTGTGGTAGGTAATGATTTTACAATGGCCTGCAAACATTTTGGCACCAACGATTAAAAAACTGAAATGACTCGTCTGATTTAGGCTATGCCGTCAGATACCCGTAAATTCGTCACATATTTTTTCGGACATCTACAACATATGGTCAACAATGTTGAATCTCAACAAAAAAAATGCATACAGACTAGTACTATCTTTCACGATATAGTATTGATAACCTTTAATGTTTCATTGTGATACACTTATACACATCAAATAATGGAATAATGTAATAATCTAAGACATAGTGGCATAATCATAAAAATATGTAGAGGCATCAATATTATATAAACTAATTTTAGTGTTATGACTATCTAACTAACTAATTAGAGAAAATTCGCTATGACTCAAACTATAAGTTAATAATTACTATCCACGTATAACAATTCACTATCAGTTAATACTTTATTTCCTCCTTTTAGATAATTTAGTGAATGCAAAAAATATCCAACGTAATATTTAAACATCTTGTATTAAGAAATAATATAGTTTAGGTATATGTAATAATTACCTATGTATATATATACATACAATGATAATAATATCTATGTATTAGTGCTTTCATAATCCAATTATTTTATTATTATTCATTATCAACTTATCAAATTAATAAAGAGTTATAAGAAATAATAATTTTAATTCTGTGAATTAAGTTTCACAACATTTGTTTATATTGTTAAGCAATACTTAAATGTATACCTAATGCAGGTGTGCACCTTCTTGAATGAAACCAATACACGGAAGTATCGGTTTAGCAAAATCATACGTTTAAACCAAACAATATACATTTTTAAGGTCATGTATATGTTTATATATTATATATTATTTGCATTTAATCTCATACGAAACAGACACTTTCTGAATTCAGTCTTCTCACATCGTTTCTGCCACTTTTAGATGCACCTTTGAAGTAATTTTCGGAAGTTCCTCATAGTTGTTTCGTCTTATTGTGTTTTATTTCATCCATAACTTGAAAATGTGAGACCTTAAAATCTTTCCGACTGCTAGACTGGAGAGGAGCGACTCTTGAATTTCAGGACTTCAGTCTTTAGACTTTTTTCATGCATTTCGTGAACAAAGAAGAACATCGATTCAAAAGTATTATTTTCTTTGTTAACTGTTGGGTAAATAATATGATTTGTCTTTTTGCAGCATATGCGTTACCTACAAATAGGTATTTTTGTTATCTGTGTCAAAACTTTTTGATTAGACCTTGCATAACAAAAATCATTATTTGCAACATGGATATTTAAAAAAATAACTATTACATTCAATTTTAAACAACTTAGTTTCTATATTACATTACAATTTCAATAAAAAATATTTAAAAACTATTTGTAGACATTGATATAGGTACTTTAAATAATAACACATATCATATATATATATAGATTTATACAATACACACATTAGGTACACAGTTGTTTGGTATAAAAGTTTTAAGCCATTTCATTAGCACTATTTAAACGTTTCGTTATTTTTTTCTGAGCTAGCAAAATGTTGACCCATCTAAAAATCGGTATTTTTATAATCTCCTATATATTAAACGTGATTCATAAAACAAAATACTTTAAAAGTTACAAGTATTCAAGTAGGTATCACGCATAAACACAAAATTATTGTAAAATTGACAGATCTTTACCTCTTATTGCGGTTCAACTGAAATAATTCTAAATCACCGATGACAGCAGGATGGCGCGAACCATAAGAAACAACGGATACACGTATTATACCTACAGAGACAATAATAATAATAATAACAATTGTCCCTGTGAATGAATAATGGATATACCTATATATATATATTATTAACCGAACGTCGGCGACGGCGACACAGCATAAATGATGTCCCAGACAAAAGCGTTTCGCACTTGTCGTCAGTGGGGAGGGCAGTACAATGGGCCACCGTCTAATGTTATGAGTGTATTTTTTTATTTATTTATTTTTTTATCGGTCGATTGAGATAAAGCCGCAAGTAGCAAAATTGTTCCATCCGCCCGCGGCAGTAGTATAGTGTGCAACCATGTCAGCGTCAGTTAACAGCGCGCGCGCGCCGCTTTGTGTCCTCTGACCGTCTCCTCAATCGCCACCACGTGTTACAACGATCACGACGACCACATCGCATCCTCCCGCGGCACACTCTACGGCGATGACTGCATGGCCGACGACGACTGACCGGCCGATCGGCTGCTGCTGCTGCTTCTATCCGACCTGCTAAAAACGGACTGTGGTAAACATACCGAGTGATCGCTCGGCGTAGCTATCGTCCTGCCGCTCACCCCGAGGAGACCGAAGTGACATCGTCGTGACACCTTCGACACCTTTGACAGCCGCGATGACGTCCATGCGACGTGAGCTCAGCAACGGGCCTGCCGCTCTGGTGGCCATCGACGCCGCACTGTCCACGGCAGTGATCACCCCCGTAGTAGTCACATACTGGAGGATAACTTGGAAGCTGATGGACATATATATACTACCCGGGCACCAGGCTTTGAGCATCATCGCGTCCTTGGGCATCGGGTTCATCGGCTTGTTTATATTTACGTTATTCCAGCACCGGTTCATGGACTATCTGAAGCCCAGGAAGCACACGGTCATGTACTACGTGATGTCCAGAAGTTACACGGCTGCGTTCGCGTACGCTTGCATCAACTCGTGGCGCGGTATCTGGAGCATTATGGACGTGGTGACGGGCACCCATCCGCCCGCGGTCGCCGCATCCGTGTTCATCGGCATAGGCAGCTTGGCCTCCATGAAGACCCTGCGCAACATCATTGCTCCCCCAATAGCTATACTAACCGACAACTACGACGGATATTTTGAGGTGCCCACGCTGTTTCGCATGGGAGTTCGAGTGAGATTCATAATACATTTGTACATCATCGCCGAGTCACATTATTTGCATCACAATATGATATAATGCTGTGGTATTCCCCCTACTCGTGGTTTCTTATAAGACACAATTGCATACTACTGTTACAGTAGTTTTTTTCTTATCTGGGAGTAAAACAATTAAGCCACCCTAAAAGCACCCAAAAAGTTTCAAATCACGCGAGAAAGTAAAAATCTGTAAAGCCCTAAAAGTTCAACGAAATCTCATAAACGATTTTTTTAAGTTAAAAATCAGAACGCATAAAAACGAAATAACTTTTGAAATTCATAAACGATAACCCAAATTGTTTCTTTGATAGTATATTTTTATACGCCTATACTTTAATATTGAAAATTAATTTTAGATATTTCAAGATTCTGGTGAGTGAATTGAGGAATGAATTAATTTTACAATGATGTTTTACTTTATAAACACTAAAGGCTGAACTACCGAAGGAATGCTCTGAAAGTTTTCAATCCAAATTTAAGGCAGAAAAGCCTTTAAAAAGCCTCAATGTTTTTTAAAATTTTATTTTTGCCAATTTAAAATTATGCATTGTTTATAAGACCTAAAACGCACGATTTTTGTCTAAATATTAGGTATATTTAGTATTTTATAGCTTTACAGAGACAATAATAATTTAGAATTCCGAAGATTATTTTCTGTAGTATTATATACATTTTTTATAAAATAAACTTATTTAAATTATACTGTTACCTATCGCATTATACATAAGCTTATAGGAAATTATAAAATGTTTGTATAATTATTGTGTTTAATACATAAAATTGAATGATATTTTTGAATAAACCACCTGAAACGTAATTCAATTAAGGCATAACATCAATTGTATGCTCGGAGACTATAATGGTGATGCCATTGGCTTTAAATCATTTGTCCAATTTTTGGTTAGATTCAGTACGATTTGAGTGTTAACTATATTTTTGGTGAATCGAAGACATTTTGAAAGGCTGATCATTTTGAACGTATCTCTGTCTAAAAATTAAAGTTGGGTAACATTTTTTTTCAAATAGTCGAATTTTTAATGTTTGATTCTAAGTGGAGTGATTCATGTGGGTTTAATTTTAATTTTTTGTGTATGTATACATACACGATAAGTAGTCAAAATAATGCTTTGATTTTATATTTTGAGGGTGGTTTTTGATGGTAAATTAGATTTAGTTGGTACTTTTAAAATGTCAAATATAAAAAATTCCAGTCATTTTCAAAAACGTTTGAAAAAAACAAGAAAAATTTAAGAAAATTTTTCCTCAAAAATCAGTTTTTTACAAAATTGGTGTAACTCTAGAAAGAAATAACCATAGATGCTTTAAATTTTCACCAAATGTTTATTATAGAATTCGTTACACATAATAACATTTTCAAAAATATTTTGACTCTTATAGATCTATTTAGATATTTGAACTTTTTGATTTTTTTCTTTAAATGTTAAAAAAAAAATCTTAGTTCGGTCAAAATGTTTGGAAACGTAATACAAGTTTTTCTTCCTTCAACAAAATAAAAGTTGACAAAAAAATTCACATTAATATTTTAGGATAGTTTGAAGTTCAAATTTTTACGACATTGAATATTTGCGAGTACAACGCGTAAAATAACGATTTCTCATCAAACAATTCACGTATTTATTTTGTTGTAGTTCAAAAACGATGGACTATACACTTAAAATTTTAACTAAAGATTTATAAAGGCATTATGCATTTAAGAAATTTTGACTCGTTCTGAGCTATTTATAAATATTTAAAATTTTTAATTATTTATTGTTTTGAATATTTTAATAATTCTTTTTTGCTAGGTCAACAAGCATAACACATTAATACGACGTCTCTCGTAAATTTTACTTTAGCAACTAAAAATTATTAAAGATATATAATTTTTTTTATGAGCATTATTCAAATTTAAATTTTGAAAAAATTATCAAACTCCCGACAATTTTCAATTCACTTTTAAGCTTAAACATATAAAAAGTTCGATTTTATAATTGAAGTTGAAATTGTTGAAATTATATAACAATTTTTCTCATAGTTACTAGTCCATATACTGTAGATGACCCCCCAAAAAATGGTTATTTTTTATAGACATTTTAGTAAAATTAAATATTTAAACTAAGAATAATGATCTTAGTTATTTTGTTGTAATTTAAAAATGGGTAGGTACTTGACATTTTTAATATGTAAAAGTATGTAAAAGTTTTCAGGTATTTTACTAGGTACGTAAAAATATAATTATATTTTGTACGCACAATGACATTTTTAAGTGCAATGGTCTCGTCAAAAATCAATTCAACCTACTGTATTCCTAATAATTAATACTTAAATAAATTATTTTAAAAGCAACTATTTCATAAAATATACTTTTTGCGACATAGGCTGACAGATAGTTTTTCGTATGCAATGATTTATCATCGAATTCAAATTTAACACATCTATTTCAGTGACACACTCGACAGCTACTGTACAACATAGTGGTAGGTACCACTTGACTCACCGTCATAAAGTCTTGGTATTTACTATATTTTTTTATTTTTTGTCTTAAAGCATTTAATGTTTGACTGTACCAAGTTACAAAAACAGTTAAGTAAATTATAAATACAATTTAGTTTGAATACATTGGGTTACACAATTTATTTGTTAAATACTGCGATGCTATGCCATTAAATTTGTATCGGAAAAGTACAAATAATATTTATAAATATTCATTAGATATTACACTATACACTTCACATATAACATTCTTAATTATTATTTTTTTTACTTAAATCATACCACCTCAAGATTAACACTTTTTATAAGTATTTAAAACAACCAATGACCACTGCATTGTTTATAGAACAATCATAAACTTGTAATTTTAACATGGAATGACTAAACATGTATGATTAAATAAAATAACTTACCTAAGGGCCATAACTAATAATATATATACAATATTTATACATTATTTATACATTATTAATTTAAAAATATATACCATTTAACGATTAAGCTGTGTGTAAAAAAATAATTGCCGCGAAGTATTTAAAGGTCGTTGGGTACGTAATACGACATTCATATAAGAGTGTATGAATCCCTCATTCTATTAAAAGTCTTTATTGTATGTTAGTTAGGTAGGTATATGTATTAGAATATAGATCCTATCATTTATCATCCGTTTGCGGAAAGCGAAATTATTTATCTTGATCCAGTTCAAAACCGATTCCATAGTGTCATTGTCATCTTAGAAAACACTAATGGTCTTATTATAATAATTTAACATGGTCAATCGTCGTAGATTATTAAGGCCAACTGAATAAAAATTTGTATTTTTTTTTTTATAAATGTCTCAACTTGAATATTTAACACTTCTACTTCTGAATAGAAGAATTTTCAAGTACAGTCTCCTCTACTATCTCGGTAATCGGGCTACGTGACAATTCGGCCCGTCCAGTATTCCAGTCGCATTTTATTTTTCAAAATAATGTCCAAATACCTATAAAATCGATCAATTCTATCAATTCCAACACACCGATTAGATATTTTATCATGAAAAATTCCAAAACAATACGTCTATGTCGGACAAAAATACAAAAAAAATTATGATAATTTTTAATTTCAACCATTTTTGTAAAGCATATAATTTTTTAAAGAAATAATAGTAATAAGTAGATATGCATTTAAAATGTAGATGTCAATTAATACACAATTTATTTTTTATTTATAAGCTACAATAATCCGACTACGAACCAATTCCACAGATTGGTACATGTTGGATTACCGAGACTCTACTGTTGTTAGTTATAAGTTAATAAGTAGCTGCATTATTGGTAACTTCAGCTTACTTTATGTTTTTAATTAATACGAGTTTTCGATTCTTAAGAAAATATTTTAAACTATCTTAATAAATTACTAAACTAAAATAGTGTTTGTTGTTCATATACAAAATAAAATGAACAAGATCTTTTTCTGTGGCCACTTTACAACCAACTTAAAATTGTAATAATTATTAGAAAGATCAACATGACAATATATAATAAAACTTTAAATAGAATATTGTATTAGTTTTTGTCTTATGGTAATTTTAAAAATCCGATTAAAGTAGTTTTTGTTATTGTCTACAGTGAAGTCACCTCAATTCATTTGAACTAAAATCCATAAGATCTATAGAATAGTCAAATATTTGTCATATTGATCACTCATTTGTGTGTTGGACAAGTACATTTATTTTATTATGTATGTTTATTTCGTATTACAGGATGGCACTGGATCATGGCTGTATGTATTGGATAGCTTTTTCAGCGTTTGTATTATTGGCTCATTGGTAGTCATCGTTTGGCGTGGTGTTTGGAGTCTAATGGACGATTATTTATACCCCGAAGATTTTCACACATCTGCAATTCTATCATTGGTATGTATACATTTTCAATATTTATTTTATAAACGAAAAAACTTTAAAATTATTTCAACGAAATCATGTTAATATAGTTTTGTTATAAAAAGTATAAATATTGTTTCGGTCCTTCAACATTTGGCTGCTATTAGAACCTATATAAATTATTTGTTATAATCTCCTTAACTGATTGTCAACTATAAAACATTATAAACGATAGTCTCTAATTGAAACAAATATATGGGTTGTTTTGACGGTTTATTCCGTTTGTTGATAAGTTTGTTATCAGCTTGACTATCTGTTTAGATTAATATTTATTCTCATCAAAAATATGAGAAACAATATAATAAACAATATTAACTAATATGAGAAAGCAACAGAACAAAGATGATTTACATCTATGATGATACCCGATTGAAAACGGTTCATTTTTTTTTTTAACAACCCGATTGAGCACAGAAAAGATATTGTCATTTCATGCGACGTTGTCAATTTTTGGCGGTCCATCTACAACCAGGCCCAGACATGTACTCGGCTTAAGAAATACTTTTTTTATTATGAGTATTAACGAGTATCATACATATCCCCCGTTTGTAAGATTCGTATTTATTATCCATACAATTTACATATACCTAATCTATTTTCGTGATTTTTGAGATAATCTACTTTGCTGTCGTGTCAAATCGATTTTTTTTTATTCTTTAGAGGAGTTATTTAAACATAACTATCGGTCGTACTTGCACTTATCATGTACGGCGTGTCAGTGTACCTGTAGATACTCAACGTTTCGGACATTGTTGAGCAATATACATGAAAACCAACGGTATATTGAAAAGTACAAAATTTGATGTTTTTTCTAAAATATTCTTTTCAACTTGTAATAATTTATTTCAATGAATAATAAATAAATAATTACGGCGAAGTTACACTTATGAGCGTTCAGTGTCGTGTCACATTTTGTTATCTTTTTGGATTCCTATTGTTTGATTGCATCTGACTAAATCGGATTGCGAACAATTTTAACTGTGCTCAATCGGGTTGCAGCCAATTTATACGGATTAATAGATTATTAAAGGTCATAGGTATTGCATATATTGCTAGTTGCAAACTTAGATTAAGTCAAGCCTACCTGGGTTAAATATGTGTTTCAAATAATCGAAAATGTAAATCGAAGAAGAAGAACGCAAAGAACTTAAATTGCTAAATGCCTGCAGAAAACAATATTTGCTTAATGAAAAAACTACAATAATTTATTTTAACGTTTGTTAATTGGTCTTTTCCGTATTATGATTGACTGTAATCGTAGTTAGTGTTTTATTAAATGTTCTCGAGCCACACACGTTTATCTTTCATCTTAACTTAGCTATATTACAACCATAGATGATTTAAAAATAAATAGAATCATATTATGTAGCGTTGTACTGTTGTGTAGTATTAAACCATTCAACATTATATAATAATATAATAGCACGTAACAACAATTGCTCTATCAAACGTATTACATACCTATATATCAGCATAAATTCAATACTTCAATTGCATAGAAAACATATTTGACTCAAATATAAGTAGGTATGCGCTACTGTCTACTCGACACGGCATTTTTATATACCAATAACAGTAAGAGATTAAATGAAAATTATAAAATTAATGATGTATTGATTATAAAGGTACATTAAGTAATTAAATAATTCAAAACTTATAACAATTATAAATGTTTGAAAAAATATTACATCATGATTTGTTATCTTTGACCTTTGTTGGCATTACTCATGTGACAGTGGTATATCAGAAAAACATTAAGGAAGTTTAATTTAAAAATGCTGATATTAGAGCTATATAATACATATTATTTTAATGACTATTATGCAAATATGAAATAAAACAAAGTAATTAAATTTACTGTCCTTAAAAATAGTTTATAAGACATTCAAATATCTGTCAAACAATCTCTTTTTTAAAGTTAAATATTAATTGAATTTTTTTTTTACACGATCTGATATCTTTATGAGAAAATTACAATCAGCGCTTGGCGATGTATTATGAATGTAGGACCCTTACAAGTTCACTGAATTTAAGAAAACTCTCATTGTGAGAACTTTCACATGAGTTATTATTTATTAAATTGTATTTTTTTACCTATACAATGATAAGATCACTAAAAAATCTCGTTTTAAACAGTTTATTTTGGTTGCCATGTAACATGCAAGAATATTTTGGTATATAAGGTCGACGATTGCCGATTATTTTGTTTACATATTGTTTCTGAACAATATTAAAGCCTTTAAAATACTTAAATGCCAAATTAATACAGAACAAATAACCCTATTTTATTTTCATTATTTTAGTAGATACTTAAATACTTTATCACATATCAGTGATTTATACAAGTGATCAGGGTCATTAATTTATTTATTATTTTATACTTTTTATATAATAACTAAAGCTGTATTGTCAGTGTTAAAATTAAACTTCCTAACTCTTTGTATCGTTTTCCATTTTGCTTCAGTTGAAGTATACCTTAATACAATATAAAATCAATTACAATAATTAATCTTACTATTTTCCGCTTCTTAATTCTGGAAATATTTTTAATATAAACAAACTGGAGACCGGTTCAACGAATCTTTAGAAGCCGATGTAAAATATGTATATGGTTGTATTAAATTTTAATAACATGTGCATGCATTGGTTTCAAAAATAATTACGCGACTATAATATTAAATATCGGATTTTTTACCGGACTTTCAGGTAGAATACCTTTTCGAGTGTACCTATTGTTATTGAGTATAATAAGTCGCAATTTAATGTATGCTTAGAAATTATCTATACCTAAGGGACATTTTTTTTTTATAGATCGCATGTTTAGGTAGGTATATAAAATATTGATTAATAACGAAAAATAAAGTAAGGTTATAAATACTTAAGATATAGAAGATAACCCATATAATATACTGTGGTATTTATATTTATTTATTTTATGTATTATTTAAACTTAAATAGAATAATAAAAATAAATTATTATTAAATAGATCAAATAAATAAATCACTTGGATGTATTAATATATCTATAATAAATCATTAATAATCATTTTGGTCAAAATAGAAAACGAATTAAATTTGTATTCTATTCAAAATAAAATTATATCATCTTTTTTAAACCGTTTCCGGTGTCGGATACTGAGAATTATACGTGTATAATCGTTGACTGGCGACTCCTAATAGTTATATCCTAATATTTCTAATTTGCCAACCGCTAATTCGCTGACCGATCTACTGCCCAACAAAAAACTATTATACATAATATTTCAGTATAGAGGTTATATAAATTATATTATTTAAGAAATTTGTAAACATTAATAAAATAAAAATAAATTTTATAAATAGTATGTCATTTTATGTATATACAATGATATATAATATATTCTATCGATATATCGATGTACTAATCAATCAATGGCATATGTCATATTTTATTGCTTTGGATTTTAATCTGAAAAAAATTAATTATTTTATAATGTTTTACATATCCTTTAAATGTACTTGAAGTCTCCCTTCATGTTTTAATTAATGTTATTGTCACCTGTTGGCGGATTGTGAATACTGTTAAAAGTTATAACTTGTGTATTTTTCAATGAACTGGGACGTCGGCGAAGTGGGTATAAGCCGGGTTTTGAATCCATGAATGTCCTCCATTAATGGATGTGTTTAACTTAAATTTGATGATAAATTATGATGTATGAAAAAATGATTCTGAGTGATGGAAATCGACTATTTGAACTTAATAAACGCTTTCCGAAAAAAAATTGGTATGCATTTTTGATACTTGAACAAAGTTCAGTAGGTATCAAAAACGTCGAAAAAACCATTATTATTAATATATTTATGGATTTTAAGACGACCTATCTAAAATATATTTACTATACATATAAATACATAATATAACATATCCAAAGGGGGGAAAGCCTCTTAGCCCCCCCCCCCCCCACTAAACAGACATGAACATTTCGATAATTTAAAACCCTGCTGAAGTAGGTACTACTTGTACCACTATACCACATGTACTACTTCATGTATTTACTTGAATTCCTTTTAATTACTTTCAGGTTTATCTTTGATTAAATTTATAAATTACGGAATTATCATATTAAAAGTATCATAATATTATGTACTGCAACCATTGCCCATTATAGTCAACTAATCATCGTCTGATCGTAATTTTACTAATTGTATTATTTATATTTGTAGGTTATAGGGTATAGTGTAGTACTACTTGCTTTTGCATTACAACCAGCTATAAAAAAATTGGTTAACAAAGTTAACGGTTTGAAACGAATACTGTTTGTGGATGTATACTTACTATTCTCATTTTTTGGTGCTGTAAACGTGTGGAGAGGAGTATGGACTATGCTGGATGTTCACTTTATACCAGGTTAGATATTGAATGAACATACTACATAATATATAATTTATATAAATACATACTATAAGTATATATGGGATCATATAAATTTAAAAAAAAAAAAATATGAAAAGTTGTATATATTTTCAAGAGCCAAAAATGCTAAATAATATTTTAATAATATGTTCTCAAAATTGTATGCATATATAATTCTAAAATTTTTAGTCTTTACAACCATTAATTTCTAAATAATAAATCAAATATCATGTCATAAATATAAAATAAGGTTAAAAGTTAAATATAATAGCATTGATCCAAAAAGTTAAAAAAAATAGTAAAATAGAAATTTGTTTTACATACTAAAGATAAATAAACACTATTTTCACACACAAATTATTTTAAATGATTGATAAATAAAAAATATGAGAGAAAAATAGCTATATGTGTTAATTCAAAACCAGGAAAATTGCTCTGCTGTAAAGCAGAGTTTGAGTGTGTCTCATCATTGAGTAGGTCAATGTAATGGATATTATATTATTATTATTTATAAGATAAACCATTATATCATAACTAATACTATTGCAAACCATTAACTTATAAGACAATACCGCCGTAAGTATAATAATGAGTAAGTCAACAGTATAAATAGCTAAAAATTTGTCAAAATATATTGAAAGTTTCATGAAGTACAGAAAAAAATGATTCACGTTATGATAAAATGTTTCAAGTCTCAATAACTAATATTTTTTGAAGTATATTAAAATTGACTACAATTGTAAAAGGAAAAATGGTTATTTATTGTTTAAATTTTCGATTAGATCAAAACTTGAAATTCAAGTCTACACAAAAAATATTGCAAACTATGTATTATTGATGCTTATTCATTACTATAATCACAATTTATGAGGAGCTTTGATAAAAAATGTTTAGGATATTTGACTAATAAACAAAGTTTCTATCTGCATAAATAAATAGAAAAATTACCTAATACAATTTGACAGTACATAATTATTATCTCAAGAAAACAAAAATATTTTGAAAATGATATCACGTCCAGGATATCCTAACATAAGTTTTTATTACAATTTTAAGAATCTATGGTTATTCATTTTTGAATACAATAAAAAAATTTGAGTTAACTTACGGTAATAATCCTGTTTTGTGTGATAGGGTCAGCTACGCACTAAATATTGATAAATATGAACTAATTTTATTCCACCACTTGATCAACTTCGTTTACAGATTTAACGGTATGTCCTTTACCACGTAGGTACTACTTGAGACCCAAGGGCTAGGTATATTATCATTATCCCTGACTACCGTCCATCATTCCATTTACACATGCGTGGTTCCTGTAGCTAATAGAACAATATATTTGAATTCTGATGCTAAGGTAACCATTCTACATTAGCCGATTTTAAACATAATAATCGTGTACAAAATAATCCATGTTTGTGAAGTTAGCGATGCACTTGTAACAGAATTCAACAAAATCTCACAAATTTTTTGGTCATTGGTGGGAGTGTGTTGACATTTTTTGGATAACACTTTTTTTTTAGCTTTTTTAAAGATTGCGACGAAAGAGATTCACTCTAGCAACAAACCTCCTCAAAATTCATTTTAACATGTTGAATTTATTGGAACGGTTATCTTTTTATTCAATTTATTCAAAATGCGACCCTAAGTTTGCACTCCTTCCCAAAAAAATCGAAAAGTGTTTAAGAAAGTGCACTTAGGATTTTTTATTTTATATGAAAGTTAGGGAGATGTACAATTTGTAAGAAATACTGAATATAAAATTGAAAAAAGTGGGTGAATTAATGAGAATTCATTGAATAATATTAAATAAAGTTATTAGTTAGTCAAAAACTAAAATAATGTATTAATCTGGTGGGCCATTCTGTAGATGGGGTGATTGTGACAATAGGAAGCAGGATGGGATGTAGTATAAAAAAAGTGAGTGGTTTCTTGTGGCATAGACTGGGACATAGAATGCGATTGATGGGGGGAGGTTAGTAGTGTCAACTACGCAGCTAAAAGAGGAAAAAATAAAAGTGAAGGCCATAACACAGAAGCTTTCCAAAATTTAAGACGTAAAAGAAGAGACGCTTATAGATACAAATTCGTAAATGCTCTAGTTATAATACCTAAGCCTCAACAATAAAACAAATACAAGACTCATAGATTTTACAAAATAGATTTAAAAACAAAAATTTAGCCTAATGCTGAAGTAGTTTTTTATCCGTATGATGTATCATTTAATTAAAATTTAACACATCCATTACAGTGACCTAGGTACTCAATGACGAGGTACACTCTACATCTACGTAGATTTAGTATTTATAGTACCTACCTAAAGTATATTATGTCAGTGTGACTTCTTCGATTATTTTAGAATTAAAAGATTAAAAGGACTATAATATGCTATACCTGTATCTGTTGTCTTTGTCTTACAAACGCATAACATAGGTAATATACTTCCATCATAAATAAATTGTTTTAATTAGTTTCTATCATACATATCTATGGTTTTTATTACTAGTCATAATCACGGACGTGTTAATAATTGACTTGATTATAAAATGTAAGGCTAAAAACATTATCTATGTCCTCTAGGCGAATTTCGATGCTTAAAAAAATAAATGAGAATTTGTAAGTTTTAATATTTTATATATTTATAACTATTTTATTAATATAAGTTATAACTAGGATAAAGTGAAGATATCTTCTCCACATCGTGGTTATAACTGTCAAACAATTAAAATATTAAAACATCTCCTTGATAACAGTAAATTTTCTTCACTTTAAATTCGATGATGTGTAAATCCTTTGAAATGTTAAATCTAAAAAACTTGATGAACACTGATCACGTCATACAGTTGTATACACAAATGAATAACTTCTAAATAAAAAAAAATATATATATAATAATTTATATTTTTTTCACTGTTTGATTTTATAAGAACCTATAATCAACTTTTCAGATGCTCCTATCACCAGTTATTGGGTATCGCATATTGCATGTTTTGCCTTTCTAGTCTTATTGAACTCCTCCAACTCCATATTAGTCCGTGGTGTTTACATAGATGCCGAAGAAGACGGTACACAATGTGTCGATTTTCCGTGTTATTACGTACGACTCTTAGTTCAGGTAAGGAACAAATTAATAATATTAATTTATTTATCACAATATAATATGTGTTTAAGTATTTTTTTTCTCTTAAAATACAAAAAAAAATAAGCTACTAATTTATACTATGAAGTATAACTAACAATAATAGAATATTGATAATCTCGCACCCCGATCCATAAAATATCAATCATCACAATAAACGCATTAATTATTAAATTATACATTTACAATACACATATTTAGGGGAGATTGTGAACTCAGAATTTTTTTTCCGGTAAAAACTAAAAATGTTTGAAGTGTAAAATCGGCCCGGATAAAAAAATATGCCCATATCTTCTCATACCTAATAATAATTTATACATATAAAGAACCATTTAGCATTACCCAAAGGCCAATACGAGGAGACGATCCCATTATCCTCCAACAATTATTTTGTTTAATTTTGATTTTCATAAAATTAAAAAATTAAAAAGTATGAAAATCCGTTATAACAGCATTAAGTAATATAATAATAATGTACCTAAATGTGTAAAATTTATTTTTTATAGTAGAAGTCATTTCGGCGTATTAATTTACTGAAATTTCTTAATTTTTATACTTTTCAAGCGTGATTTCTGCTTTTCCATCGTGTCATGTTTACTATATTTTATCAAAAAATTATAGGACAGAGTTTGCAATCGAGTTTTTTTACTACCAGAAATTTCCTAGCCGAGCTTAAAAGAAAAAAAGTAATAGCGGGCCCAATTTACATCCGTCATTTAAGTTATACTAATGACCAATTGCACTCCCTCAGTTTTTATTTTTATTTTTTAAGAAGACAATGGGCCACTTGTCCTTGTTGAATGTGTTTGTTTACAATTTGTAATAAAATATATTATGTTAAGTATGATTTGTATAAAAGGTTATTTGAAGAAAATCAGAAATTTTTTTTTTTAATTGTTCAATTAAACAAACAATTATAGAAGGAACTTGTCTCCTTGGATTTATATTGCATTACTAAAAGTTAATTTTTAAGTAAAATCATTTATATAGAACATTATTAGGCCAAAAAAACTAAAATTCAACTTATGTCTTAATTAATTGTTTTTTCCTCTATTTTAGAAGAGAAAACGCAAAAAACAAATACGTGACAACGAAAAAGGTAAAGAAATGACGCAAATTAAAATTGGAAAAGAAGAGAAAACAGAGGATACAACCGAGAAAATGTTACTTACAAGTGAAAATGGTGACATAACCATGTTAAATAAAGTAGAAGAAACATCAAACAACAGAAGTAAAATTGTTTGACATGACAATAACCAACATTAAGGTTTGTACTTTTGGATCTTAGAAGGTATCGTTTTCAAAACACACCGAATCCTTTGTGTTCGTTCAAATTAAAATATTTTTTTATATTGACATAATAATTATTATTTATAATCATGTACATACATTTAGCTCGTTCCATTTTTATTGTTTTTTTTTTAGTTGTGAAATGTCAAAGATTATTTAGATATCGTGTGAACCAATGTTTTAATATTATATTTTATATCGACATTGAACTATACTTTTTGTAAATAGTACAATATTACATTATAATAGTAGTTGATAATTTAATAAAATGTATTGAATTTACAGATGTTATTAGATTGTTAAATGTGTAACCTCATTATTTTTTTATAAATTCAGATGTTCATAGGTATATACAATTGTTTAGTTTTGAGATTATAAAAATATGAATTATCGAGTAAATTAGCTAATTTACTCGAAGATATACCTATTTAAAGTATATATTGTATTTCATTATAATATGTTATACAAAAATGTGTAATATTATTTACGCAGATGTATTAATATTTTTTTTAATTTTATGTTATTTATTCGTTTTATATAGAATCTATTACAATTAAAAAAAATTTTAATTCTAATAATATGCGTTTATATATTTATACTAAATTTTTATTTTTTATTTAGTCCTAAATCAACAATTAGCCTGAAGAGTTAGCGATTAAAGTGGCGCAAACGATTAGCAAATTTGAATAAACTAAATAATAAGGCCTCAGTTGTCAAAAAAACGAAATAAAGAATTGAATAATAAGTGTATAATTGTTTGCTTATGAAGGAAAAAAATGTTGGTCATTGAAAGAATTATCAGAAGGGACAAAAGGTGTACGAGTTGAATAGGTAATGGTTAGGGTTAGAATGTTTATGACCTTAAAAACTCTAAAATGGCATGCAAATATGTCCAAACAATAGTATGTCATTGAAACAAATAAATATGATACTATAAAATGCATTAAAAGAATTGAATTGTTCATTATTCTTTAAAAATATATTACACCATACGTAAATGTTTTTAAATCTGAAAAATAAGAATATTGTCCACAGATGCACAGTATTAAATGTATAAAAAAAATGTTAAACCCTAGGCGCAAATAGTCGAGGCTCCAATGATGCTAACCTTCTCAAACATTAAATTAATTTTTTTAAGCTTATTCAATACTATCGTTATAGCAGTATAGTACTGCTGTTTCTTATATTTTTAGTTTTTAATAATATTATTTAAGAATATTTTTTTTTTATGCTCTTTGAAATTCGAAAAATTACTTAATATATAAAAACAATTTTTTTAAAAAAAAGGCAAGGTTTAATTTTGATAACTACTTATACGTCATACCAAATATATATATAATTTAACCAACAAAATATGCATGGCTAAAAGAAAAATATCCAAAAGTCATTTACATCCCAAATTCCTAACCCTGTTAAACGTTACACAATAATTAATGAATTCCACTAGGTACCTACGTTAATATTATTTTTTCAGTTTCTATATAACCTATTGACTATTGCATTGAGTATAAATACTAATAGGTTTTAAAATCAATGGCTACGTGGGCACTTAATCATTTATTTTGTATCTTAATATTTATAATAAAAAAAAAAAAGTAAATGGATAACTCTGATTACATTATACGAAGTATGAGTGATACGTACAATCTATACATATTTATTTATAAACGCGATTCCGTTCAAATTAAATATATCAATAAATCAGATAGACTTCAGAATAATCATAAATAGGTATTAAAAACAAATATATAGATTATAGGTCGCTATTTTAAATGTATTACAAGCTAAGTAGGTACCTATTTACATTGTGGTATATATTACGCTTTATTGATATTGCAGTCAAGTACCTAAACATTGAACATCCTAACTAAAATCATTACAACATGCTATTCTATATTTTTGTCTATCAGAACCAAAAAATATAAAAATGTAATACTATCATTTCTAATTAAATATAGATACGTAGACCAATCCATGAAAAAGTAGATAGTAATCTGTTTACACGAAAAACATAGTAGGTGCTTTCTGCTTATACTCATTAAACGACATACTTATTTGTACACGACATGATGTATAATACTATGTAGGTAATAGGTATACTATATAGTATTTGATGAACACTGCACTTGGGTAAATGTTGAACTATTAAGTATACAATATGCCATACCTATTAAAAATGTAAAATAAAAAGTAAGGAATTTTGGTCAAGTATCAACATTTCATATGATATGTACAATAAAATTTGTATTTATAATACTGCAGGAACCCGGTGTTGAACTTTCCGTGATTTTAACTCAGATTTTTTTTTTTTATTTCAAATATAATGGTTTAAAATAATTTGTAAGAAAAATCATGAAATTGTCTAATTTTTGAAGACTTATTATAAAGTTTGAGATTAAAACATTGAAAAACGGAGTTCAATGCAGCCTGTAAAATATTACACTCAAAAAAATTATCAAATTCGGTTGATTGTACAGGACAGAATCATTATTCCCGAAGAGTGTATCATTTGTGTACAAAATTACATTGACACCAGGCGCCTTAATTAAAATGCAAAATATTCAAATCAATTTTTGTTTTATAAAAAAATTGTGCTTTGTCGATTTCATTTTGATTCAGTAAAATACATATGTATACTAATACATATTATAATAAATGCATTTTTTTTAATATAAATAAATTCTATTAAATCTTCGACATCCGGAGTATAAAAATAATGCATATTTCAATCTTACTTTGTGCGACTTTTATTTAAATAGGAAATAAAATAAATATAGGATGTTGCATAAATTATACTTCCAGCCAGTCTGTTCCTCAACGTCCGTTTAGATGTTTTTAACGCTCGGGAAGGTCCCACATACATGTCAAAAGGGACAATTAAAGAACAATAGCAACGTATAAATAAATTTGCGCTCTAACAAATTAGTTTTGTGCCATTCATCAATGAATGATATCGTGGTAAGCACGTTACTTAGGACCTAAAAGGCTAGAAGCCCGTTCTATCATCATATAAAGTTCTTAAAAATACTGTGTACTAAAAAAAACCGTAAAAACAAAATCAAATAATGTTTTATAAAAAAGCAGGTAAACAATTCGGTCGGCGATTCACCTCAGATGTATTATAGGTACAATTACGAAGTATCTATATACAATATACATAGTACATGCGCACAGAAATTATATACGATTGTGATCAAACATCGAAGAACTATTTTTTGAGCAATGAAAACCCTATTGCGTTTTTAAAATAAGCTATAGTGACATAATCGTAGTTTTAAGGGGGAAACAAAGTAGGTAACCGCTCCGCTGTACGCCTGTACGGTAGGTGTCAACTAATGTCTGTGTTAAAATTGAATTCAATGATGAACAATTGCACACGCAAAATGATCCAGGACGAAGGTCTATCAGCCAATATAAAATATCTTGGTGTGCGCGACGGCAGCAGATTCGACATGATATGCCACTGGACATTGAAGAATTATGGGCCACAGTCAATTTTACCTCCGCCAAATTATGTTTACACACAAATCGTATACAATGTACAACGTGTACGTCATTATAAGTACGAAAACTGTTTTTATACATTTTTTAGGAAATGTGTAGAAAGGTTCTTATTGAAACTCGGGATTTTTATGGCCCACCATAGCAGCATAGCAGCGCCACTCCTCCGAAATGATAGAAAAAATGAATTTGCTTGACATATTTCAAATAAACGTACACCAACAGCCCTATTTTTTTTCGTTATTGGAAAATAGGCTGGATTAATTTCAAGCTTCTCCTGAAACTATAAATAAACTAGAATAAATCAAAAGAATCAAACGGATAAACTGGTTTTGGTATCGTCAACTTAAATTTAAAAAGCTTTCAATTCATGCATATCTTTGCTGCGAGATTGTTCATTTTCAAAAAAAACTTCAAATGAAGTTATTCTTCATATACGCGTGCTTGCACACACACAAGGTTTTTTTTTGTGTAACTCAAAAACTAATAACCATAGATAGGAAGTTATACTTTAAATTTTTACCAGATGATTATATAACCATTTTCCACAAGTCATGATTTTTCAAAGTATTTGAATTCTTTTTGAACTTTTTATAACCGTGATAAATTAAATTTAATAAAAATAATTTACTTTCATAAAAAAATTTGTTTTGATATTTGATATTTTGGCAGTTCTGACGAAGACGACAAATACGGTGGGACATATCCACGGAAAAGTTCTGACAGTACTTATTAGGTACTTTTACTTAAATATTTAATAGTTTTAAAATAATTTTTTTAGTTTCGAGTGAGAAATATTGTTTTATACGTATTAGACATAAGTATAATTTATACAACAATACATATAATATATAATATCTTTTAAATAACGTTTCATATTTTCAAATACTTAATATAATCAATATAATTTTGACTTCTCTTTAATATCTTACATTATAATATAGTCTACAATCTACATAAATATAGCCATACATGAAAACACATCTTTTAAATAAGTGTTAATACCTACATGAAATAATATCCACTGATGAAATCCATAAAGAAACCCAATAATTATAATATACGTTCGAAAATTCAAAAAATACAAAAAATAACTAACAGTACAATAATTACAAGAGCGCGTAAAATGCAATCTAACCCCCACACACTAACTATTGGTTTATTCATTTTAATATGTAAAATCAAAAAATAATAATTTATGGCTTAACGAAATATAAGTGTTATTAAAGTTTTAAAATATAACAGGCAAACAATGTAAGAACTTGCAGCTCGGACAGTCTTTGGCAAGATAATGAAAACAATGTTTTTGTATATTTTCTTGTGCTGTCACGGACTCATCACTCATTGTCCATGGTACCTACTGATTTCTTAGCACTCCCACCCACTGAACTCCATCTGATGTGTACCAGCGCGTCGTAATCCTTCGTTAAACTTAAGGACGTATTTAATAGAACTAATACGAAAATAATTTTTTTTAATATTAATATAAGAAGTGTACACTTACTAACTACGCTAACTACAATAATTTACCAAATTATTCTTAATATTACTAAAACTAATTACATGGATTACACATTTACACGTCTTACAAATGGGGTTCTGTCTGGTCGTCTTCGTATATACCTATACCCTATATACTGACCTGAGGCTTCTATAAGTCCAACCGCGGGATTCAGTTGATTCCAACTCGTCCGGTCAAGTCGTCAAGTACATCAATGTAAGTACATACATAGGTATATCTAATTACGAAATATATGTTGATACAACTGTATGCAATGTGTACTCACTGCAACAGTGAACAACTTGAAGTTTTGTCAAAACAGTTATTGCAGAGTAGGTACAGGATTAAATCTTAAATTTTACAGATATAACTCATATAAGACAGGTTATTTGGACGGATATAAATAAATTATGGAAATAATATGATACAATAAAAAGCTTATTATAATATGATTGTCAACGCATTGTATCTAAGATAAATCATGGATTGGTGTACGTTGACGAATAACTATGAAAGTAGCCACCTACCTACGCCTATTATTTATCACCAATATTGTTTTAATATAAATATCAAAATACCTATATTGTATTTATAATGTAGTACCTATTATCAACACGCTCATTACTTTTCAAAGCGTATCTCGATTTTCCAATTTTCAACAAAACGTTCACAATTCAACAACAAGTTATTTTACCTGGGTAGTTATAGGTAAAATGAGATAAATACCTACTTAGTTTAGTGGGTATATCTATACTTAAAACAACATGGGAAGTAAATCTGCTCATTCTGCTCTGATTTTGACGTTGAGTGAACGCCGCCATTGAGTAGGTCACTATATATACTTAATGGATGTGCTAAATTTGAATACAACGATAGACCATTGCATAATTTGAAAAACAATTCTGTGTGGAAAAAACGGTCAGTAGAAACTTATATTTTATAGTATATTTACACACCTAACTATTTATTACATATTACTTATTTACTATTAGTAAGTACCCTTCTATAAAGGTAGGTTGAATTAAATTGTGCTAAAAACATCAAATGTATCATACACTTTCGGTACCCAAAGTTAATAATTTTTAAATTAGGTAATATCTACGTAGGTACCTGTACCGCGAGCAGAACGGCTCATGGTATAAATAGCTTAAAATCAATCTAAATTTTAATAAAATGTCATTGTATATATCAAATAATATTTCAGAATTTTTATGAAGGGAGAAAGGAATTCAGCATCCCGGACAGCTTGTATCTACATAAGCAATTGGTCCACTATCAAAAACTAAAAACTTAAAAAAATTGGGAATTTAACTTAAATTAATAAAAAAAAAAAATGTTAACACAATGTAAATATACATGTAGAGCTAATAACCTATGTAGTTGACGGTTCATAAAATAAAAAAATATTCTATGTACTCGAGAAAATTTCAATTGTTCCAAAAGTCAACGCATAATATTTTTTCTCAAGCGTACACCGAAAGTTTAGTTTTCGATGACGGTCGAAGAGTTGGAAAGCGACCTTTTTCCGTCCGGCGGGCGGTAACATGGGAATCCCTATTGTGCCGCCGGGAGGTAAAATGGAAATTCTCAAAAGTGCTGAGCGTAGGTATATCCAATGCACAACCAGACACTGAAATCTATACGACGGTCCTCAAAATACATACACATTTGTCTACACCTTATATTCATATTGTAACCTCCTCGAATGACGAGTTAACATTTTTCCTTCATGAAATCGTTTCCGTAGAATAGGTAGTCCGGTTGTTGCATAAATGGTAGATCCCTGCATTACCTTTGCAGTGATCGAAGAACGTAGAGGCGTGACGAAAAATGGTATATATGTGTGGATCGTGTGGGAAGGTAATTTTAGTCTAGGGCGAAACCTACCATAAAAATGTGAAAAATACATTTAATCAAAACTTTTTTTTAGTCCCCGTAAGAAAAATGTATGAAAAACCGTACATACCTAGTTGTGTTACTTGTAGATATTAGGTAATTTGTTCAACCTTATTAACTATATTATAGGTAGGTAGTCAAATCAAAAAAATACTATACATTTTTTTTGTATGTCAAACATATTTAACAACAAACAAATTTACAAATTTCAACGATGATATTTTGATACGTTAAGTCTAAAAGGATTATAAAAAAATTGCAACTTTTTATCATTGATTCATTTTTAAACAACTGTTAGAACAACCTCAGGGCTAAGAGGAATGTTGTATTAAATATTCAAGCATTTTCCAGACTTTCAAACAGAAATTGTATCTTCAGTTAATAGAAAAACAATTATAACATTCTAAAATATTTTGAAAATTGTAGTATAATTATGTGGTGGACATTTAAAGACACTACATAGTAAACGGTTTTAATTTTTTAATTATAACAAAATAACAAATTTGATTTTATTGACTATCTTTAGGCATATTACTACTGGTTTTATTGGTTTTATTATTTTCCCGATAATTTTGAAAAGTACAGCAGGGAATATTCTACTTTTGACCTCGTATCAACTAGATCCAATTTGCTACCACAAACCACCCTACTTAAAGATCTAAGACTTTTTTACTATATAAAAAGTTTACACAAACATAAAATCATCATTTTAAACAAATAAAATCGAAAACAAAATTTGAATAATGTTAAAACAACTATTGTTACATTAGTATTAATTAGTTTAATGTTTCAATAATAAACCGGAAACCTGTTATTAATTTAGCTATAATCATCAAAAAACTAGCTATTATAACATGTTTTAGTTAGTTTATCGAAAATATTTGGCACCGAAAGTAAAAATCGTTTCGAAAACAATTGTTTGAGAAATTGTCAATGAATTAACGATTTAATTTAGGTTTACTACTTTGATTGTTTGATTTAATGCCAAGAATATGTTTCAAGTAAATCCTTAAGTCTATTTTAATTTTATGAATTATAAAAAATCGAAATATTGGTAAAATATTTATGTGTAATAGTGTAGGTACCTAGCGTTATTTCATTGTTGCAGTAGGATCATATTATGACACATATACTGACATACCTACCTATGTTATTTATTAACAAGTTCCTTTTCCACATCACATAACTAATTTGGCTTTTGTTTTGTAATTTAAATTGATTTATAAATCCCTCTCTTAAAATCAAAAAATATTTGGTAAGTGTGAATCTCAATGTCTATACTTCACACACCCATTTATCAAGCATATTATATTAATTAAACAAGTGTTAACCATGTCAAGTGGATCTGGAAAAAAAGACACAGATACGTTTATGTACTATTGTGTAATATTATTTAACCCCTAGCTTGCGGAATAATTCTAGTTCCGCATTACGTAGGTATATATTATAAGTTATATCTGTGTATGTATCTACTACTAAGTAGTAAATGTGTACAACATTCTTAGGCACCAAATTTAAGAGTATTGAGAAATTTTCTAGAGCTCAAGGTGAGTTGAAATTGACATGGTAAACATCTGTGTTGCTTAATATAGAACACTTATCTAAAATAGAAATGGTAAGAGAAAATATATCGAGAAAATGTTTGACAGAGACTTAGTTCGTGTTTTGGCATGCACCATGGCACTTCTAGAGTCAGGTCATTCATACGTCTCGGTCGAGTTTGAAGTATTCGGAAAAGTACAAGGTAAATTGTTCTTCTCATACTTTTTACAATTAATTCGCACAATATATAGTAAACGCACAATTTACACTTTACAAACGCTAGATACACAAACATGATTATAATATATTTTAAAAATCATTTGTTTTGAATTATTTCGACTTATTAAAAGTAGGAGTTTAATAAAAATTATTAAGTGCGATCAGACAAATAGGTAGTTAATTCAATACATTTAAATTGGTAAAAAAAAATTGGCTATTTATAAATTTAATAATAATCTCACAAATATAACATTTTTCGAGTATATTATTTTATTAATCACTGAATGTGTAACTTGATCATTAGAAATGAACAGTTTAGTGTAAATATAAATATAATATTTTTAAATTGTATTATTAGTTTACACTTTTTATGCCTACTCATTGGATATACAATATAAATGTTGTAACTTGTTAAAAGAGTATACATTTAGGTAATTATTAAAACTTATCATTAAGGAGATACCTAATAATATTCATAATATGATACATTATTAATTAACACAATTATAGCACATCTCATAAGTAGGTATCTAAATTGATTAAAGTTTATGTTAAATTATTTTAATTCCCAAATTTCCACCACCAGCAAAACTGTGCATATTTCATTCAAATAATATTTAATCCACATTAAAGCAACTGTAACTAATACTAAATACAAATTCAATGATTTGCTTCATCTATTTTCATTTGGCCTATACCTACTTAACTGGATATTGGTTCAAAAGTACAAGATCTACTGTCGCCTGTCGGGGATCTTTTTGTCCACATTCCTGAATTTGTCAATCACGTAATTTTGTAGTCTTGTTTATAATTTTTATTTTATATAGACACCTACTTATACTCTTTTGATTATACATGCATACTATTAAAATTTAAAGCTGAAAACAATTGTTATGTTTCTATAATGTTTTTGTTATTTTTTGGAAACTATTATTTGGGGAGAAAAATTGTACTGGGGGATTAGATGATAATAGTACCTTTACTTTAGTATTTTAGAAACTTAAATTCAAAAAATTCCAATGTATTTCTAAAAAAATTGGGAGAAAAAAACTAAATTGTATGCTAAAGTAAAAATATATTTTATTGATTTAAATCATTTAATCATGTTTTTATATGGATATCGGTGCACTATTATGATGTTATTTTAATGGAATTAATATGGAATATTCAAAATTAGGTTATAGTTAAGTATTTACTGTGAAATTGTAGAGAAAATGTGAAGCAAATAAGCTGCTTTTTATCAACAGTTTAAAATAAAATTCCTTTGCTCAATATAATGGTTTTTTGATTGCTGTGATAAACTGATAAATAAAGTAAAATTGCTTTAAAACCATAACCGAACTTTTCAAAAGCACTTCACAATAAGTTATAAAAAAGAACAAGATCCCGAAAACACAAAATTATGTCAGTTCCTATTAAACAATTTAAAAAAAAAATAATTAAACAAACAAAAGTTATTTTCATTTATGCATTGGAATTTTAAGAAATTGTCTACAAAATGTATTAAGAACAACAATTTTGAGAAATAATATAATTAGGTCCTATCTACTGAAATAAACTTGAAACTGATAATGAATAAAAGAAACTAGAGACCAGAGTCTAGAACAATATAAAAGAAAAAATAATTAATTATACTCATTATATTCTTGAGCTTATAAATAAACGTTATTACTATAAAATTAACTGACTGAAAGTCTGCAAAAAATAAAAAATAAAACAACAATGTTTATTAGTTGGCACATAGTTTTTTCATATATATAGGTACTATTGCCAAATATCATTAGTGTAAGTATGCATATTAAATATTTTAACTAACGTTTAGAAAACTAAAATGATTAACATTTGGGTGAAATTGATACTTTTATATCATTTCAATTTAATTAATCTAATCAAAATAATTAGGAAAACTTTCTAAATAATAGAAAAATACTATAAGTGTTATTTTATATAAACTATATTCTATTTTTAATCAAACTTATCTATATAAATAAAAATTAAATGCTTATCGTTAGTAATTGCATAATTTGAGAATGGCTGAACCATTTTCAACAAAAGTTATGTCAATGGACTTTTTGAGACTTGGAGGGTGCTTATAGTATATTTTTCCAACCCCCATAGATAGAAAAAGGATAGTTTAAACATAGTATTTTTTCCAGTTCACGAAAAAAGAATATTTTTTTCATTTATTCAAATGGTTTTTATCGGTTACATATTACATTACAATTGTAATCAGTAGAAATATTCATTGTGTTACAAACATATTTGCAAAAAAAACAAATTTGGCATTGGCAACTGGCAACATCCTAGGTAGGACAATCTTAATAAAAATAATAATAATTACTATAAAAAATTGATATTTAATTTAAATGAAAAAATAAATTTAAAAGCAATTTAATTTTGAAGTTTCTAAGTGACTTATTATTTAATGAAGTATGTAGAATTTTAAATGATTAAAACAATATTGTACCTACTAAATATTTGATTTCAAATGCATGTTTATAATTTTATCTTTATTATTTAGGCGTTTACTTCACTAAATATTGCAGAGACAGAAGCACTGAGCTCGATATTGTTGGATGGGTAAAGAACAGTAAAAGAGGCACTATAATGGGCAAAATGCAAGGACCAAAAGCAAATGTTGAAGTAATGTAAGTTATACTGTCACGACTCTGTACAATACAAATAAAATATTTAATACTTTGACATGCATACTAACACTGGGAACACAACACACCTGCAGGACAATTCCTAAAATATTACTTTTTAAAAATTAATATTAAATAATTGTAGGTAAATTTTAACAAAGTTTAATATTATACATTCAATTCAGAATTATGAAAGGAGTTGAGAGTTAGACATCAGGTCCAAAATTTAAATTTAAATACAGTTAACATATAGTAATAAGATAATAGTGATATTAACAAGCCACTCTGCTGTATAGTAGAGTTGAGTATATCACTGAGTAGATGATCACTGTAATAGACGTGTTCAATTTGAATTCAATAATAAATCTTAGTATACAAATAAAAGGTTCTAAGCAAAAACCATGTGTCAGCCTCTATTTCTAAACATAACTATAACTAATAAATTATTTATTTAACTTGGGGGACGGAGTGGCCGAGTGGATAACGCGCCGGTTCGAACCTCAGTCACGGGCAGCACTTCTCTCCGGGCAGTCACGGTGTCTGGAGAGAGAGGCCGCCATTCCCCCAACCAGGCATCGCAGAAACCTATGGGTGCCCACTAGAAATTCTGCCAAACAAACACACACGTGTTCCATAACCCCACAGTAACCCAATAGTCCCAAAAACCCCTGGCTAATAACCACGTAGTTGATGCCATAAACAATTAATAAAAAAAAAAAAAAATATTTATTTAACAACTATTAAATACAGTGGATAAAACTTGTTTCTGAAAAAATCAGCCATAATTATGCAGTATTATTGCTATAAGATTATTAAATCAATAATACCTAATGGTATATACAGAATGATTTTTTTAATCATGATCATCCCCATTTTCTGTTTAATAATACTTTTATTCAAATTCTGATTTTTAGAATTTTCAAATATAAGCTAAAGACCATATTTTCATATTACTGATATTTATTGACTACTTAAGAAATGTTCTTTGGCAGAACAATAACTTTTATTTTTCAAATGAGAACCACCCTTCTTTTTTACTGCCAATTATTTAGCGGGTGGTCTACTAGAAAATTTTAATAAGTAGTTAGACTTTTTAATTACTGGTTTTGGGTAAATATTCATGTTTTTAGTAACTTTTTTTTAATTTTTCCTGATTATTTTGAAAAAAAAAGGATTTATTTTTATTTTGGAGCTTCTTAACTAGATCTTACTTGATAACAGAAACAACTCTGAAAAATATAAATTAGCTTCAAACCTTTTGTCAGCTAATTTGTTCAGGCTAATCATAACTAGAGAAAATTTGTGGGGTGGGTGATCAATTTTTAATTTACAGTTAAGAAACTTGCGTTGAACACGTTCAATTTCATTTCATACCACAAGAGGTGTCTGGATCCCACATAACGGCTCCATATTTCAAAATTGACCTCACAGAGGCACCTTATAAATATTTCCTAGTAATTACTAATTCAAATTAATAACAAATTAATTTATAAAACAAATATATTCACCACTCTACTCAAAATATAAAATGTTAAACACTTTTTTTTTAAAAAACTTACAAACAAAAAACTCGTAAAATAGAAAAACTAAATTTTTATTATAATTAGATAAAAAATGCTTTTATTTCTTTGCTAGTTTATGGTGCAAATAAAATATTTAAAATGTACCAAATACTTTAGGTCATACACCAGATTCTAGAATCAGTGCATGTTTTTGAAGTTTTTTTTTATGTGGCATTCCAACACACATTGAGTTAATTTTTCCAATAACATGTGTTATTATATATTTTTTAATGCATTTCAATTATAAAATTGTGATCCCACTGGCCACGGCATTGTGACAAAAATATCTCCCTTTTCTGTTCACATTAAACAACTTTGCCACATGCATGAAAAGGTTGGAGTTTTATTATAAATTATGTACCATTAGTTTTATTATGCACTTTATAATAATTTATAATGATATGTACGCTGTAGTGTGGTGATGTTTTTGCTATTCTAATATTACACAATATATATTATAGACATAATATGTTAATGGTATATTGGTATCAATGACTCTGGGTAGACTTTATAGGAGAAAATAATATGAAAGAAAACTATTAATTTTAGAAAATTTGAATTTATGCATGCCCTCAAAATAAATAATATGAAAACCCCAAATAGTTTTTAAGTAGATATATCTATTAAATCAGCAAACTTATGAAACTTATATCATTTAGAAAAGTATAAACACACAATATACTTAATATTTAATTACAGGATCGCATGGTTGTCAAATGAAGGAAGTCCCGGAAGTAAAATTGAGCGATGTGATCTAATGAACTTCGAATATTTGGCAAGGAAAGAGTTCAATGGATTTAGCATAAGATTTTAAACATCCTTAAAAAGTAATATTTTATTAACGCAGGTATTGTAAAATACAGGAAAGCTATAAAAACACTAAAATATTGGTGTAAAAAAAAGACATGCACATATTGTTAAAATTTTTATACATAATTTATTATTTTTAAAAATCGATACTAGCTCGAAAGGCAAATACATAATACATAATATTTTATAATGTAAATCAAGTTGCTTAAATATTATAATGTATTAGAAAAATGAATAAAGTAAACTATTGGTATAACAAACTATTTAAAATAATATGTAATAAGTATTGTAAATACACATCTTAAACTCTAGGAATTTTGAAAATAAAAATATTTACAAATTTTTAACTTTGCAATTTTATTATACTTTATTTATTATAGTATACTCATACACACTATATGTAATTCTAAGCAACCATTTTTTTTAGAATTATGTTCTATAAACTTGTCTTTGAAGTAAATGAACATGAATAAAACAGATAGTTAAATGTTATATATATATGTATATATAAAAAAAGACTTTTAAATTATAGAGTTTATTAATGGCAAAACAAAATTTACTATACAATATTTGTTTTCAAATAACCTCAATAAATGTTTTTACACATGTATAAAAGGTGACCCAGAATCGTTGTTTATATCTGCATCGAAAAAAAAATGTATACATTTTAAAACAGGTTTCATAATCTGATTTAAGTGTGAGAAAATATAAAACCATTTTCTTAGAATTATGTTCTTTAAATTTGTGGTTAAAGAACAAGGAGAAAACAGATAGTTAAATGATATAGTATATATATAAATATATAAAAGACATTTAAATTATAAAGTTTATTAATGGCAAAACAAAATTTACTATACAATATTTGTTTTAAAATAGTCTCAATATTTTTTTTTTACATATGTTTGGAAGGTGACCCAGAATCGTTGTTTATATCTGCATAAAAAAAAAAAAATGTATACATTTTAAAACAGGTTTCATAAATTGATATTTTAAGTGTAAGAAAATATAAATCCAGATATTCTTTAAAAATGAACAATATTCTTTTTACTTGAGATCTATTTGGTTTATATTAATGAGGAAAACTATAAACTAAAATTCACAATATTTCTACTATGTAAAAATTATGAAACGTGTTCATGTTAAATGTTTATTTTAGACTATTAAACAAGAACATTATATTATCTTAATTATAATAAATTATCAGTAACACATACAAATTCATTAAGAAAATAATAATCTATTAAAAATGAATTTTTAGATATGATATTATAATATAATGGTTAATAATTATTAATTAGTCTATATTCTATAGGTAATAATTAATAGTTGATAATCACAATATATTTAGTAAAATAACATTATATTATATAAGTTTATATCAGTAATTAATAACTTAATACTTATCATAATATGTCACATACAAAATATTGTTTACTATGAATCATTGTTAACGATAAAAATAGAGTGGATATTGAATATATCATGAATTAAACTAAAGAGGATATTTTAAAGTAATAAATGTATTACTGTGTCAGCGGTTTTATTTGAGTAGGACAGACATGTATTGGTTAAACCCTAACTTCTAAAAAAGTTCTCAAATTGGCCGCTAATTGGACTGAAGAGACCAAAATGATCCCTGTTAGATCAATATCAACTGTAATTAGTAAAGCCTTAAATAGACTAACAATGGTTGACAGTTAGTCAATTCATAAATATGTTCAATGAAATTTTCTCTTCTGCCTTTTTGAGATATTATGTTCTCACATATTGTAACTTGTAAGACATGTAATAAATCATAACCAGGGCATGGATCTTATAGCAAATACAAATTTTCTAGAATATTCCAAAAATAGCTAAATTTAAATGAATAGAAAACACATTTTTTTAAATCAGGTATCATTAAAAATATAAGAAAACACTTGTATTTATCATCTTTGTCTTACAAACTTACAACATTGATGCATACGACAGAAACGATTTTGTGGTTAGTTCAATATTAAAATGAGTTAACACCTGGTATAAAAATTAAAGCTGATAACATTATCTGTGTTGGTATATTGGTTTATTATAATATTTTAATTATTAAGTGAATTATGAGTTACGACTTATGAGCATTTCTATAATGTAATATTTTATACACTATAATACACAACAAAAAACCAAAGAATTAACACTGATAATGTTCTAAAATGTATTTATTTATAATTAAATACGGTACAAGCCCGATTACATATCTTAAATTTAAATACATGTAAGTATACTTCAAGTTTGATAATAGGTCAATTCATTCCAATATTAAAACTAATAACACATATTAGGTTCAGCAAAACACAACATTAGTGTGACAAATTAGCTATGCTGTATGTTTTTAAGCAAAGACATTAGCGGATTATTTCTCTTAAGCAGAATTGTGTATCAAAATGTCAAAACATATCCCCTGTTTCTCTACTTAATTTACCTAAGTCTTTATAAATAAATAATTGTGTTTATAGATGATAAAACATGATTCAATATTTATTCTTTATAGATTTTTGAAAAGTACTATTTTTCTGAACACAAAATATTAAGTTCACATATTTTAAAATCACAAATCAATACCACTTTGCATTATCTATAATATTGAATAGTAAAATTGTGTGCAGTAAAATGTATGTAAAAAAAATTCTAAAAAAATTTAAATATTCATAAATATTATTTAGTCAATGATAAAATAATCACCCTGTATATATCATTGACTAGTTTAATAATTCATTTTAAACAAATTAATCTTATTTTAATTACGAAGTAAATCATCAATGTAAAACTTACCACTTTTATTAGATTTTTGTTTACGGTATTTAGCAGCAGGTCCCCAAATACGAACAGTACAATCATCCGAAACTGATGCAAGCATTTGATGATAAACTGGGTTCCAACTAACACATGTAACTGCTCTTGTATGACCAGTTAATGTTGCTATTGGTAGTTCATGCTTAATATGCCACAAATATACTTTGTTATCTATAAAAAAATATTATTTTTATCATATACTGATTGTATATAATGACAGTACCAGTTACCTTCACTTCCACTAGCAATAAAATCATGATTAACACCGCCAAAACAACTATGTATAGAAAAATGGCCCTGTGTAACTCCTTGAAATTTTCTTACTAAACACTTATCTTGGAGATCCCATAAATGAACACCTTGTGAAACAACATTTAGGAGAGCAAGACGATCAGTTTTATTAACTGTGAATGACATTATAGGATGATCTTCTTGTATTCTATTTGAACATTTTAAACATGGTCCATATTAAGACAGACATTCAAAATGTATGGGCATTGCTTTACTCACAAATTTTGATCACTTAGCTCATCGAAATTGTATGAACGAATTCGTTGACGTGTGTCTGCTGCTAACACAGTTTTTCCATCAGATCGACACCAAAGACAATTTACACGAACACCTTCCCATGAATCTAATACAGAACCTTCTAAATCCTACAATTTATTTATAATTTAGTTCAAATTATTTTCAAAGCTTATATACAAGTAAGTTGATTATTTATTTATGTATAATTACACATTGATAAAATTGTCCTCGGATTCCTCCACAGACAAATTTTTGGCCATCTTTATGCCAAGAACAAGCAGTCAATGAGTCGTCTGATGAATGTGAGAGTTTTAACCTCAAAACACCAGTACTAACATTCCATACCCATAAGTCGGGACAGTCTTCTGGCCCACAAGCCATGAGAAGTTCGCCATCTGGAGACCATGAAAGGTAACTTACTCCATATGAATGGCCATCTAAAGTGATCGATTGTTCTACAGTTAATGTTTCCTGTAAAAAAATAATATATAAGTACATAATAAGCAAAAAAATTTTTTTAGTTCACACACTGGATCAACGTCATATATTATAATAGATGCATCTTTTGAGCCAGTTGCTAATTTTTTTCCATTAGGCGAGAACCGACAGAACCATACTTCATCACAATGTTCAGTCAGTATTTGGACGGTTTCACATGGAATTTGTTCTCTGCAATAAGAACAATTTCTTTTTTTTACACAACTACATAATGATAATATTATTTTAAAACACGAATTACTTACAATGAACACTTATGGTCAGTAAGTAAGGAAACAGTTTCAATGGAATCATCAAATGTTGTATTATGGAATAAACATTGATTTCTTTGCAGTTCTACTGCCTGAGTCAATAACATATGTAATCTAAAATAAGTGGAAAATGATTTAATTATATATAAAAAAATTTATAATAAAATATGTATGTATAAAGTTCATATATTTGTTCTCTATGTAATAACAGGACATTTTTTTGATTAAAAAAATTGATTTTACAAAACATATTTATAACTTATTAATCTAATCTACTAGTGATGAACTGATTAATTATCCTTAAAAAAAAAACTGTTATATCTTTATAGGTTCCCCCTCACTCTAAAATGTTTCATATTACAAAATATTAATTTTGGTATATTTATATTTACAGTAGAAATAGCGAAGTGTCATAACTCATAAGATACAATATGACAGTGTCTAATCTTATTTGAATTAGAAAATGTGATAATTAAATTAAATTTTAGAATGAATATTAAGATGGTTAAAATGTCAATACAAAATCATAATTTAATGTTGTTATTTTTTTAATTATACAACTTATTAAATATCTGCTATGTTATTTGTTTCTAATAATTCAAAAACTAAACAGAAATAGATGTCAAGTCACCAGTCTAGGTTTGTTGTGCAGCTGTGATCTGATAAGTGCGTGAGATTTGATAATAGTCAAGTTTGTATGAGATGTTTTAAACTTATTAATAGCCGTTATTATATACCACTTAGCCATTATATTTCGATTGCATTTTGAAATGTCCATAACTTTTATAATATTTAATATTTATACCTATAGAAGATTTCCATACTTAATGTTTAATGTTTATAGGTTGAACTTAATTATTATATGTTATTATGTTATTTAGGAATTCTGAAACCAAAAATGTTCATGCATTTATATTATTTTGTTAAGGCATCTCTTGGCCAATTTCTTGCTAACCTTTAAGTGAAAACTAAAATGGCCTATTAACCCCTCAATTAGTAATGAACTAATGAATAAAACAACTTGTTGTTAGGTTTTATTTGGGTAATTAGATTTATGGATAGTTAGATTATTGATAAATCTGTACATAAAAAAATGATTAAGAGTGGGAGGCCTCTAGATCAGCATAGGTATATTTCTAAGGGTAGTATAAAGAAGGTTATGTATATATAATTATGAGTAATTTCTCAATTTAGTAAGTTAACTAATTTTTATTAAAAAATTCCAAGCCTTAGAATTGTGT